GGCTATAATTGAAAATTTGGGGTTTTTAAATGTGTTTTTTTGATGTTTCTTTCGGAGTCCATCCAACATGAGGGGTCATACCGGAGGATGGTTTGACCATGGGCACCGTTTACCCATTATCGACTTCGACGAAACAGAAGTTGAACACGAGAAGCTCAACTGAGAGTGAACTCGTGGCAGTTGATGACCTGATGCCATCGATCCTTTGACGAGGCAGTTCCTTCGGGAGCAGGCTATGTAGTTAAAGAAACTATAGTCTATCAGCAAACAAGAGTGCCATTCTTCAAGAGAAGAACGGCAAAGTTCTAGTAGTAAACGAACGAAGCACATCAACATTAGGTACTTCTTTGTGAGCGACAGAGTCGCAAAGAAGGAGATCAGTGTGGACTGGTGTCCAACTGATGATATGGTTGCGGACTTCTGGACGAGCCGAACCAAGGTCGACTTTTCAAACAGAACGTGGACAAGTTGATGGGTGTTGTGGAACACTCAGAGCAGGGCACTCAGAAGGAGGGTCACGGTCGGACAAGAGGTCCGTTCAAAGAAGGAGCGCTAAGCGCAGTAAGTAAGTAAGCATGGTCGACGACTAGGACAAGCTCGACGACCACAGGAGTGTGTTGGGGATTCGCGATTAGGGATTCAACCTGTACCTCTGTACTAGAATTTGATGCCAGTAGTAAAAGCTGGTACCCCACCCACTTTTTCAATAGTATCTCAATAGACAACAGTAACAACTAAGAGAGCTTAGAGCAACTAACAGACAGGCGCAAGCTGGTTGCGACGATGAAGGAGAGGTTTGCGTTGTCATGGTTCTTATCAACAATACTAGTAAATCAGGGCTTTTTCTCTTCTCTCTCTCTCTCCCTTCTCTCTGTGATGAGTGACGGGAAAGATGCCAGATGGTGAATGATGAGATTTTGAAATTTGAACAATATTCTGTTGAAAAGAAGAAAATTCGAATCGAATCGAATTGAATTGAATTGAATCGAGTCGATTGATTCATCATTCGAACGAAATCTTCTTCAAGATTCGATTGAAGATTCGTGTTAGTCGCGCCAGTGACAAACGAGGTGGCAGACATGGCTGAGGATGATGACATCCCTTTCTGTTCTATTTTAACATCCACAACCAATGAGATAGAAAGGGCAAGGGAAGCGCATCGCACAGAGATGGATCTTCCTCTCGTAGCCGCACAAAAAAAAAGGTTTTGGAGAGGGAGCAAGTTGCCCTTTAGTTAGACTGTATCTACATAATTTATTTGGGTAGCATTGTGGCATTTTGGTCGTTGTTTGTTTGCTACAAGCTACCGGTAGGCCGTACATGTAGATTCCCCACAAGTTTTTAGAAGGCAAGACGATGGTTCAATTTGGCAAGAAACTGTTGGCGAATCGATACGAGCCATGGGTGCCGTATTATCTGGACTATCAAGGATTGAAAGGTTGCTTGGGGCGCCTCAAGAAGTCACAAAAGCTCTTACAGCAGCAGCAGTTGCCAAGTAGCAGGAGCATCATCAACCACATTGAAGTTCCTCCTCCCCCACCAGAGCATGATCATGTCAGTTACCAAAACTCAAGTCATCATGACCAACTGGAGTTGGGAAGTCCTCCTGCACATCATCATTATGCCAGTAGTCCACTGGTTGCTGGAAGTCCCATGTCCTATGGAAGTCCTCAACTGAGTCGAGACAGTCATTCAGAACACACACTAGCCACCCAACTTCCGTCGAAAGAAGACCGACGAGACTTTGAAACCTTTCTAGAAGATGAAGTCGAAAAGATTGGATTGTTCTTTCTACAAATCCAGGGCGAAATCTCGGCAAAACTAGGTCAAGTGCGAAAGCAACAATTCGAGTTCTTGAGAGACTGGGAATTGCAACCGCCACCTGCCGCAGTGACAACTCACAATGGCGTTGCTGCCACGGCTCTGGTAGAATCTGGTTTTGCCGACCAGCAAGACGCCAAATTCCAACAATTTTACTCTGATTATCATGGCTGTGCTGTGCAATTGCTCCATCTCATCCACTTTGTAGAATCCAATGTCACGGGCATTCGAAAGATTCTCAAGAAACACGATAAAGTCACCAAGCAACACTTGACCTACCAGTACCTTTCGTTCAATGTACACCACAAGGATCTAAAGCATCTCTGGACCAGTCTATTGCTACGACAGTATGAAGGAATTACAGTGTTGAATGCAACGCTCAAAGTGGCATTGACGGAATTGAAAAACATGGAACGAAGTCAGCTACTTCAAGCACAACCAGAGGACAGATTATCCCTCTCTCTGGCTCATCCCGGTGACCTGCTCAACAACAATAAGGAAGCTCCCAAGCTGGCCACTGTTGGGAAACCACCTCTGAATCCAAAACAACAGCGCCATCAACCTGCCAAGTCCATGCCAAACATCCTCTTATCGCCCGAGGATATTGCTGCAGCTGTTGTTTCCGGCAATCTACAACCACAAAGCATGACGCCATCAGTCGTCTCCACCAAAAAGCAACCTCTCTATGAGACCACTCTCACGGGACGCGAGCTAGATGCCATGCTGCTCAAGATTGAAGCGGCTCGACGGCGTCTTAATATCAGCAGCACCACGTTTCAAGATATGCTGGCCGCCCAGATTGTCATGCTAGAACCCACTTCCATGGATGTTTCAGAGGATGGCATGGAAGACGATGAGGCCAGCAAGGCTGTGGAAGATAAGTGGTTGAGCCATTTTTTGAATCTGATGAGTACCTTTCTGTACATGACCAACTACTATGTCGTCGCTCCAACTTCGGGGCGTTACGCGGAAATGTTGGGAGGGGATGAAGCTTTGTCCGGGATCATTATTGGAATGACCCCCATTGCCGCATTGGTCTCGACCGTCTTGTACAGTTGGTGGACCAGCTATTCCTACAAGTCGGCTCTGGTGTTTGCCAGCACTTGCAGCATTGTTGGAAATTTGTTTTATGCCCTTGGCTTGCCATGTCAAAGCCTGACTTTTGTCATGATTGGACGTCTCTTGAATGGTTTTGGGAGTGCTCGCAGGTGGGAAAGAGCTCAGAGTTGCCCTTGTTACATAATTGTGGCTAGTTGATATCCTCATGTTTCCTCTTCCGCTCTTGCAGCATCAACCGACGTTACATCGCAGATACCTTTCCTCCTCGACAACGCACTGCTCAGTCTGCCAACTTTGTTACTGCAGGTGCGTCAAGAAAGCCACCCCGTGGCCATGGTTTTTTAATCTAATGAGTGTTTCATCCCCTATGCAGGCGCCCTTGGGATGGCAGCTGGGCCCGCAATTGCCAGTTTGCTTCACATTGGATATTCCGAGAGCAGCGATGACCGAATTGGCAGTCTACACATGCACACGGAAGAGACTTTTGTCGGTGCTGATGGTGTCACTACCACGACCACGAACGACGATGTGACAGTCTTGGGTACCACCACGAACGTTAACCCATGGTGGACGCCGGAGAATTCTCCAGGGTGGGTTCTTTTTGTTGTTTGGTCCGTCTTCTTGGTGCTGTTGTTGTTACATTTTGAAGATCCCCCCAAACATTCATCATGCAAACAAGCAGCGACAGAACCGGCGCCGTCAAACGCGATTGAAAACGGGGCAACACCAGAGGAAAAGAAGGCTCTCTTGGGCGACAAACAAGAAGAGAGAGATACCAATTTGGGAAGCTTTGATAGCGATGTGGATAGCCCAGTAGAAGTGCCTCTTTGGAAGAATATCCCAGTGATGACGACATTTGTGATATACTTCATCTTGAAACTGGTAAGTGGACCAACAAAAAACCTGACGTGTGGTTTCGTCACGGCGGCACTTTTTAATCATCCTCTGATACTTATCCCAATGAACCAAACTGCAGATCTTGGAATGTATCCTCAGTTCCACGTCAACTCTGACCAACTGGTACTTTAAGTGGGACTCCTCCGTTTCCGGAATCTACTTGGCAATTCTTGGGTTGTTGATGTTGCCGGCCAACCTTGGAATCTCAATCCTTGCCCGTAAACACGACGATCGCGAGCTCATCTTTGGATGTGAGGTTGCCATGCTGGTGGGATGCTGCGGTATCATCCAATACACTGAGGCGACAAACTACACGCCGATTCAGTATGTGCTCTTCAGTGTTGTGATTTTCTTGAGCACCAATGGGTTGGAAGGCCCAAATATGAGTTTGCTAAGCAAGACAATCCCTAAAAGTTGGAGCCGAGGTATATTCAATGTAGGACTTTTGGCAACCGAGGCCGGTACGTTCGGCCGTGCGGTGGGAGATCTTTTGCTCAGTGCTTGGGGTTTCGAGGGTGTTGGGACTCTTTTGAACCATACCTTCCGTACAATGTCCATATGCTCTGCCTTCTCTCTTGCGCTTACAATGTACTTCTATGAAGACTTGGAGCCTCACGAACAGGACGACTAACACACAATGGGTGAACATGTAGATATACTAATCACTGATTAGCTGCACCAACTGGCGGGGGATCCCATTCCCAAGCTATGATGTACGGAGCACCGTACTTGTAGCTATTGCTTTGGAGTAGCGGTACATGTACCGCAGAACATGTTGGCGCTGCCTGGACCGTTGTGGAAACGATTAGTCCTTTAATCCTCTATCCTCTCTTTTAAAAGTCTGCCTGATCCGCTTTAATTTAAAAAATCTGAGTATTATAGAAGATGATGCTGTTGTCTCCGACTACCGTTGCCTATTAAGGCTTACAGGCAGCTTCGGTTTTAAAGATTCAAACGCGTGCCAGGTTTTCTCTTACACTTCTACGAGAGCTCGAGTAGAAGTGTACCAAGGAGGTCGGCAGTGTACCAAGGAGGTCGGCACGCGTTTGCATCAATAAAATCGAAGCTGCTCGTACCATAAATGAGCCTTTCCACAAAGGTCCACGTACGGCACGGCAAGAATTGTGAGTTGGATGTTGGATACCCTTGTTACCGCTACGCAGCTCTGCTAGCTAGCTCTAGCCAGATACGGCCCTTCATTCTTCAAAAAGGCCTGCAAGGCAGCTGACGTCTGCCAATCAGATCTCTGCATTGTTGTAAGAGAATGCCACAAGAGCGGCTGGTTCTCTCCCGCCCTGACCACACAAGCATGACGAGAGCAGATTGAATTCAGTAAGACCTCTTTCAATTTCTCATGGATCCGGCGGGCGGATGTTTGCACGTTTAACTGGTTTCGTGGCGATTTTGCTCTGGATGACGAGTCGAGTCGAGTCGAGCCTTCAAGATTCCTTAATATTTGCTGGAAACCCTCTAATGTTTGGAAATGGAAAAGAGATTCTCAAGCTAACTAAGGGCCTCCAATTTTCCCCAATTTGTGCTCTTAGTCTTTCACCGCCTTGTTTCAAAGGTAATACTGCAATACAAAGTTGGTGCCTCCAAACCCATGGGCCAATACTAGCTAGTAGTGCTTGTCTCCTCAGATCCTGAGTATCATCTTCTCTCAAGGTTAGCGTGACCATCTGCTTGTGTTCCCTCTCTCGCCACCCACTCCAACATTGTTTGTGAGGAGGAGTCCAGTTTATCCTGAACTGACCGTTCCCACGGACACATTTATTTATCAGGCTGAAGCAACTCTTAGTTTCAATCCATGCGCCTTCGGTTTGACCTATCATCTCTTGACCATGTTGGCCAGCTAGTCAGCTACCATTGGTTTAAAAACATTTCCCGCAACAAAAGTGCCTTCGGTGGAACTGGACTTTCGCCGGAACTGTTGACTTCAAGAAGCTGTTCAAGAAAGAGCTCTCAGTTCTGGAGGCTGGCCCGCTCGCAAGTAAAATGCAAAGAAGTCACCGAAGACACCGGCATTGGGCTTTTCTTGCGCGGGTTCGCTTGGTGGAAACCAGTTGATTTTCTCATAAAATTCATCGTGAAGATCTTCACCATGAAGTCTGCTCTTTTTGCCCTGGTCGGCCTTTTGGCCGGCTCAGCGTCTGCTATTGAACTGACACCCGATAACTTTGATGAGATGACCGCTGGAAAGACAGTGCTCATCAAGTTCCTTGCTCCTTGGTAAGCGTCGTGCCGGTTTGTAGTAGTAGTAGTACGGTAGCACCGTGGTCTGGGCGCCTGCCCGCTCGCTGTGCTCTTTCGTGCATGAAAACTTGGGGTTTTAGTAGTGTTGTTGTTGTGGCTACTGACAATGTCTCTTGTTGTTGCTTCATTACTATGATCATGCAGGTGAGGACACTGCAAGAAAATGAAGCCAGATTGGGACAAGCTCATGAAGGAGTTTGAAGGTTCCGACACCCAGCTTGTCGCCGACGTGGACTGTACCACGGAGGGCAAGCCACTCTGCGAAGCCCATGGTGTTCGCGGATACCCAACAATCAAGTGGGGAGACCCCGCTGCTTTGGAGGATTACCAAGGAGGACGTGACTTCAAGTCACTGAAGAAATTTTGCGATGAGAAGCTCAAGCCGATGTGCTCCCCCGCAAATTTGGACCTTTGCGACGATGACAAGAAGGCCGAGATCCAGAAGTTCATGGATATGTCCGACGATGATCTCGACAAGCTTGTCGAAGATAAGGAAAAGGAAATGGCTGATGCCGAATCCGAATTCAAGGCTTTTGTCGAGGGACTCCAATCCCAATACCAAGAGGGCATGAAGAAGAAGGATGACACTCTTGATGCCATCAAAGAATCCGGATTGGGTTTGATGAAGGCTGTCAAGGTCGCCAAGAAGAAGAAGGGCGGCAAGGACGAGCTGTAAATTTTTCCTTTTTGGGACATTTACAAATTGATTATAGACTGGGAATTGTGGTTCATATGGGAGGATGGTAGTTTGGTTTGGGTTTTGTGTAAGACATGACAATATGTTCAAGTATGCATGAATGACGTCGTATGCTGGGTCGAAGACCTTTGCAAATGACTGAGAATAGCAATCTTTGGAAACCTTTATGGCTGGTTCGCTTCATTTTCCACGCCTCTTGGGATCCTAATATATTGCGCCGCAACTTGTGTCATGTTTCATGTCGAGCCGCTCGAATTGGCTTCTCGGATTTCTGTTACGGGCTTCAGTTCCCTTAAATTTTATCAGTTTCCACAGTTATTTTATTAAGCTAGAAATTCATTCTGCTTAGATTTCTAGGTGCCGGTTCGTTGTAGATTGAGTTGAAGGACCTCCCATGGGGAGTGCCAGTTTTCCTGGTCCGTCTTTCGTGCACGGCAAAAGCAAGAATATAGAAATCAAAACGATGCGTCGCAGTTTGTACAAGCGTTGAAGGGCTTTGCCGTGGGATCCCAATGAGGAGAGCCAGCGACCGCGGTCAGCACCGTAGAGGGTCCCCCGGTCAAAACTCCAGCAAAGCCTCAAGCACACGCAATTACAGTGCTGGTACAATCCGCGAGCTATTTGTCTTCTTGCCTTTGTTCTGGACTGCCGCACCAGTCTAATCTTGGCGTTGCTACCACGCCAATAATACCAACACGAACCAGGACCTCGCCCGTTCCGCGTTCCAGGCTTAAAATAATTAGTCCCCGTCCTTGCGTCATCCCAAGTCAAGGTGGCAACATGAACGCGACCATCAAATTGGCGTAGTAGATGGATACTATGGTAACGTACAGGTAGATGTGCGAGATTTGATCGTAACGCGCTTTAGCATTACATCGTATGCCCGTTCACTCCAACCCCGATTGTACATTACGATACAGAAGACAAGGTACCCGGCGACCAACAGATACACAAAACCAAAACGTCCAACAAAATTATGACCTACACCCCGGTCGAGCAGGCTCATTCATTAGCTAGACATCGCAGCGGCTTTTTGCGTTCTTCCTGTTTGTTTTGTGTTTAGCCTCGGCCGGTCCCACACATTCATTCATACCGTTCGTTCGTTCGACTTTATCGTTTTACATGTGGCACCGAAATGTGTTTGGCAGTCGATACCTGAAGCGGGGACTCTTCTTCAATGGAAATACTGGTATCCGTCTTGCGACGCACCGACATCATGCAAGGCCTGAGAGGTGGCGGTGGCGGCGGCTTTGGCGCCATGACATATACATCCTCACTACTGTCGGCAAACGGTTTTTTGGTGCCGGAAATGTGATAAAATAATTCCCCAGTCTGTTGGATTGCTTGCCCTACTTCCACTGCTTCTTGTCGTGAATCGACCATTCCAGATTCCAGCATGCTGTCAATAGCGAGCGCTCCCGTGAATGTATTATTGTTGTTGTCGCTGTCGCTGTGTTTTCCCAGAATGGGTTGCATAGCTTCTAGAAAACTGCTTGCCTGATCCCTAAATTCGGCGGATAGCAATTCCTCTTTGATGGATTCTGCAACTAATTTGGAGGATTTTTTGCGGCATGGGAACTGTGGCACACTGTCCTTGCTGTTGGACCGGCCAAAGGGTGCTTCTGATGATTCTTGTCTGTTGTTGTGGTTGTTGCTCTTATTGGTGTGGTTGCTGTTGGGTTCCAGAGTGGGAGCCGAGGGGCACTCACTCGAGAGCGTTTTGATGGATGTTTTCCGTCCTGGTTGTCGAGGAGACAAATCCGAGGACCTGGACGACCCAGGTGGTGGTGCCTGTTCTTGTTGCTCCTGTTGTTGTTCGTGTTGGGTTCCCAATTTTGCGACATGATGGCTGAGTTTGGATAGATCACTGGTGGACATGAGAGACGAAGACTGTCCCGCCGTGACGCTGGTTTGTCGTTGTGGCAACATGGGTTGACTGTCTACCTGCTCTTCGTCATGGACAAAATTCAGTTGGCGAATGTCCAAGGATCCCTCGGAGATTTCAAACTCTTCGGAAAAGTTGCCATCAAACTCTGTCAACGTAATACTGCTGGCCACACTGGCCACACTGCCATAGATGCGTCTTCCCCGTCCCATAATATTGCTCCAAATGGAACTACTCTGACTACTGCGATTCGATTTCCGAGATGTGTCCAGTGCTCCTCCCGGTGGGGTCGTTGATCCAGCGGCTGCTGCTGCTGCTGTTGCCCCCTTGGAGTTGTTGGAACCGCCACTGTGGTGTCGATTCGGAATCCCTCCCCGTCGGATACTGTGTCGAGAATCACGAAGAGATTTCAACGCCGAATCGCTAATCTGATAGTTCGCCATTCCTACAGACACCACTGTGGGCTTATTGTTGTCTACCACCGCTCGGGCTGTTGATGTTTCCGGCATGGCTTTGTGTCTGTCTACGGTATGGCACTGGTATGGAATTTGGTATTGGTACTGCACTTGAATGAGAGAATGGCAGGCAATAGGCAACTCAAGCTCTGGACTCTGGCCCCTCGTAGTACTAGTAGGTTCTGTCCTGCTTCCTTGATCCTTGATAAGAGCGATTGACGCTTTTGGAGGTGCTCTCTGTTCTCTGAGCAGGATTGATTGCGAAGAGTGCAGCTCAATGGTACACCCAAGCAACCGCGGCAAACGTAGTACTCGTAGCAGGTAACAGACAGCTCAATGCAAAGAAGATGATCATGAAGTTGGCTTGGATTGAATGTTCTGTTGGCCGAAAAGACATAGCAGTCGTAGAGTCAGTACATCTTACGCTACACTCCTTGGGAAAACCGGCGTCTGAGAGACGGCATTGATAATTCTTCACGCTGTCACAGAACAACATCCGACCCATCTGCAATCACGGTTCAACGGCAACAGCAACAGGTCCCGGTGTACAAGCTGTTGACCTCCTGGGGAGCCAGTGCTGGTACGGTATCTGCATGCTTGTTTGCTGTATTAATAGTCTACTAGTGTCCAGCAGCCCAGCTGCGTTAATTAACGCTATATGCGTTAATTAATGCTATATAAACACACCCGCTCTATCTAACATATACATAGCTGATAGCTTGATAAACTGCTAGCATTATTTAACTATATCTTGGGTAGTAGAAGGTGCGTGCAGGGCCGCTTGAGTATGGCGCAACAGATGGGAATGAAAGCTTGCTTTACTCGGCTTTTTCGATCGGAATGAAATTCCATTTCTTTTCTTTCGAACAGAAAGAACCTCACCATGACGAAAAACGACCGCTCAACCACCACTTTGGCGCTATTATCTCACCAGAAACATGGCTAGTGTTGTCAGCGACACCCGGAAGGTTGTGGGTGGTGAGTGCTGGGCTCTGGCAAAGCAGGTAACCCATGATGCAAAGCGACTTTTTGGTTCTGCATGTGGTGAAACTTGGTTGAAAGGAACAGTCCAACAAGTTGAGCTGAGAAAGAAGACACCAGACGCCAAGAGAGGAACCAACTATATCAGGGCGCTGTACAAGCTTGGCCCCACCAAAGCTGTGGAGCAGTGGATCTGTTTGCAAAGTCTGAAAGCAACCAATCCAAATCCAAGTGTTGATCCGATTGGTGCCGCCACCGCGGAACAACAACAAGTCCAAAACAACTCGAATCCTCCTCCAGCCGAACCGACCACCAACAACACTGATACATCGCCACAAGCCCTTCCAATGGAGTTGAAGTGACTACAGTGACGGATGAAGATGCAACCGTGGAACAGAATCCTTCTTCACCTGAAAATCCGGAACAACAGCCCTCACCATCATCGGTTGGCACCGGAACATCAGGTCGTACACCTGTTGCATCAAGCCATGGATATGATTGGTACACGGACAAGCCCACAGACATTCCTTGCAATGGTCCTACTCCTTTTCGCTCTTGGAAGATGACTTGTCAGTTCACCGGACGAGAGTACACTCCTGGCTGTGACGAGTATCAGCGAAACAGCAAGCTGAAGCATCCACCGTACAATTTCTTCCTTGCATGCTTCCCCAAGACCCAGCTGGACTACATGATCCGCGAGACAAGTGCAGTGCTGAAACGAGAGAAGAAGAAAGAGCTTACTATGGGGGAATTACTCAAATATTTTGGTGTTCTCCTGTTGATTACTCGCTTTGAGTTTGGGGATCGCAAGTCACTCTGGGCTACTCAGAGCAACAGAAAGTACATGCCTGCACCCAACTTTGGCAGAACAGGAATGACTCGCAACCGATTCGAGGACCTCAATCGGTACATGGTGTGGAGTGATCAGCCAGAAGAGAAGCCACCCGGTATGGGATCACAGGAGTACAGGTGGATGCCGGTTCAAGGTTTCGTTGACAGGTTCAACGAGCATCGTCGCAGGTTCTATGTTCCCTCTTGGATTATCTGTGTGGATGAGTCAATGAGCCGCTGGTATGGATTGGGTGGAAGCTGGATAAACATTGGATTGCCTCATTACATTGCTCTCGATCGAAAGCCAGAAGATGGATGTGAAATCCAGAACTCTGCAGATGGTGTCAATGGAATGATGCTTCAGCTGAAGCTGGTCAAAGCAACCGACGATGATGCCGACACGAGAGAGCATGACGCTCAAAAGGAGGACAACAATGGGTATGCATGTTCCACGATGGCTGTCTCGTGTGACATTTCTTCTCATGACCTAACAGTTCTTGCTTCTCTTCTTCTTCCTGTAATCTCGCAGATACTCTCATGGCTGTAACATTCTCTATGACTTGACAAAGTACTGGTCGAACACTGACAGAACAGTTGTCGGTGACAGCTATTTCGCTTCTGTCCAAACAGCTGTCCGTCTCAAGAAGAGTGGCCTTCGCTTCATTGGAGTGGTCAAGACAGCAACCAAAGGGTATCCAATGAAGTACCTTTCTACATTGCCCCTGCTGAGTGGCCGAGGTGACCAAGCAGCAGTGACCTCACGCGATGAAGAAACAGGTACCGATTTACTGGCATATGTGTGGGTTAACAGGGATCGTCGCTATTTTATATCTACTTGCAGCTCTACAGCACCTGGACTACCTTGCAACCGGTGGCGATGGCGTCAGGTGGATTCAGACATCAACGTACCGGCTGAGAGAGTACAAGTGTCCATTCCACAACCAGAGGCATGCGACAAGTACTATTCTGCCTGTGGCACCATCGACCAACACAATAGAACTCGGCAACAGGCCCTTCAAGTGGAAAAGAAAGTGCAAACAAGGAAGTGGTCCCGTCGTGTCAACATGTCGATCTTCGCAATGTGTGGGGTTGATGCCTTTGAGCTTGCACGTGGATGTCAGGTTGGCTATGATTGGACTCCTCGCGACTTTGTCGAAGTATTGGCTGAGCAGCTCATTGACAATACCTATGAAGAAAGGTCTCTTCGAAAGAGAACAGAAAGGGAACATGCCCATGAGCAAGATGTTGCCGGTGTTGACACACTTCCTTCCACCTACCATTTGACTGGTCCCACACCAACCAAGAAGAAGAAAGCCAACAAGCCTACCCACACACTTCAAGGCAAGTGCAGAGTCTGCAAGAAGTCGGTGACAACTGTCTGCAGAGCTTGCCGCGAAAAGGGAAAACAAGAAGAGTGGATCTGTGATGGCTCTGGAAAGGTTTGCATGGGTCGACACATCCTCGAGTGTCATGCTGACAAGAATGCCAAGCTCTGCAAGCCAACCATGCTCTGGCGTTGAGGCGTCTGTTGATGGAGGAAGCCATGCTCCTTGTTTAGGTTGATGTATGGTAAGTGCATCGCTGTTTGAAATAATAGCGAGTGGATCTATATAGCGAGTGGCCGTTGGTTGTTTTCTCACTTGCTTGTTGTTCTTTGAATTCGACAAGTGAGAATCTGTGTAGGATCCTACTGTTCTTTGGTAGTGGTAGTAGTCGTTGTAATTAAGTAACGTCAGAATTTGAACCCTCTTCCACTTTGGTCCGTGCGATTCTACTGGTTAATGGTATGAGGTCACCTTTCTGAAGTGAATTAACGATTTTCGGTGTTATCTAACGATTTTCCCCGGCCTGAAGGACACTAGTAGTTTGGTCAAAGCCACAAAGGTAGGGGGTTGACAACCTTGTAGCGGTAGAAGCAGCCAACAGCACAGTAAGACTGGAACTAGCCAGCCAGCTAGTTAGCTAGCCCACAATGACTCCGCATTGCACGAATACTAAACATCATTTGCTCCCTTTCGTTCCAGCCAAGCGCCAAGTAAGAGCAGTCACTAAAAAA